TATGTGGAGCATTCGCAGCTTATATGGACGGAACGCCACTGATATATACAGTATATCACATATACATACATACATACATACATAAATATATATAAGAAAGTGGTAATAAGTCGTGAAAATCAATCTAATCTGCATAAGATCTCTGATGAAGCCTTTTCTCCAAGAATAGTGAGTTTCAATTAAGTTGCAGTGTTGTATTTCTGTTTGACTTTGATCATAACGTAATGAAACATGACAATTCTGTATGCTCAGATAAACTTCACAGAGTGAAAAATGCATTTCAAAAGCCACATACAAGCAGGAAAAAAACGACAGGTAAAAGCAAACCGTTCCGTTGGTTTTAAAAACCCCGTCTCAGTTCAGATCCAGGGGGAGGTCTGAAGATGGAGAGCTACAACAGTTTGTCTTCTGTTTAGCAATATAATCCCATCATCAATTACTTCCATTTACTCACTTTTAAGGAAAGCTAATTTGTCTTACACTACAATCAAACCCTCATTATGTGAAATGTAATTACTGCCAGCTTGAGTCAAGATTCAATTGTAATGATAGAACTACAGATGCTTCCTTCTCCTCCAATCCTTCCCAAAGCAAACAATAGACACTTTTCTGTTCCCGTGATGTCTTTTTGTTTGGCTTTGTTTCTTCAGAGCTTATTTAACTTTACACTACATCACTGTATTTTCAAAGTGACGGCCGTATCTCTAATTCGATTCATTGGCTCCACTTGAAGGCCTCTCCGTTGATGAATTGCACAGCTTATGAAATTAGGCAGATTGTGTGGAAACTGGCCCCATACATGTTAAAGTGAAACAAAAAGCTGTCGTTTAATGGACGACAGGCGGTCTCTGTGACCCACGAACAGGGCTGATCTCATATCTGGATCTCATCAGCATTGTAAGCATGCATTACACTATATCTAGGCTTCGATACGAGTTAAACTTTATCAGCGTTTGTGGCATTATATTGATTCATATTTTTATCTCATTCTGCAGTAAATGCTTTAATTAAAAGAAAAAATCAAGCTTATTTCATTTCTGCTCTAGAACACCAGTTTTTTTTTTGTTTGTTTGAAAAAGGGATTAGACAAAATTATATCAACGTTATGCCATGAATGATGTTGATAAAGGTTCATTACCGAACTTATAGGACATTCCTTTTAAAATTTGCAAGTAATTTTATACTTACTTTCTTTCACTTATTTTTTCTTCTATTCTATTCTATTCTATTCGTAAAAAAAAGGACAAGACAAAATTATTCTCTTTGGTAATTGTTCAATGAATTATAATATATTTTGTTAATATAATTATTTTCTTTACTTTTTCTGCTCTCTTCGCTACTATTTTGTTCATTGCAGAATTCATGCAGATTGACAGTAAATTTAGGCTAAAGTTGTAGAAGATAATTTTATATACAAATAATTCAATATAAACCAGACGAGACAGACCTGGGAGCAATGAAACATCATGGGAAACACCTAGGACAAATTAAACATGGGAAAGGAAGGCACATGAGGAAAACAACCACAAAACACGGAACAGAGTCTGACACCAACATTGTGGTTCATCCTCAGGATGATTTACTACTGGTTTATATTGAATTATAGGAAGTACAGCGAGTTTATCTGAGCTCTGGAAGTTTAGCTAAAGCTGTTACCTTAAATTATTTAACTTGCACCGTGAGCAAATACTATAAAAACTGAGTAGAAATTAAAATTACTAAATCCTTTTTCTTTTCCAAAAAATACTGAAAAGTGGAATCTAATGCCGTTTAATTTCTGTGTGAATCTCAGAAGAACTGCTCAATGTCTGTATTTACTTCTATATTAATTTAATATAAAACGTCTATAAAAAGTTTTAAAGTATCACTTCTGCATATTAACCAAGATGCTTTTCTAAACAATAAATCAAACTTTGGATTATATTTACTATCCAGCGTGATTGGTCCATGGAGATATTGGCCCATCAAAGAGATGTAAATTCAAACCATGCCCAGTGGAGGAAGAAGCTTGAAATTGTTTTATGAAGCAAGTGGTGCCGTAGAAATGTCTATTAAGTCTATAATTTCTATAATGATGCAATAGAGCGTAAGCATCAAAACAACTGACTCCTGAGGAACAGAAAATAATGAAGAAGTAAGTCAGCTGTTTGAATAAGATCATGGTTATTTTAATTTGAAGTTATCCTCGGGGTGTGGAGAATTTCTCTTAATATGAGTTCTGGATTATTGATCACCTTAAAAATGTAATAAGTAAAACAAAATACTACAAACTAATTTAATGTCTGCAACTCACAGGCTCATTACTACTTTAGCATGTTGTTGCTGGTTGCCAGATCATTATTATGTGGTTCCCAAATCAGAAGTCTCTGTGATGAACTTGTGTGTTATGTGTGTTACTAATGCTCAAGTTAAGTTTGTTTAACTCAAAGTATGAGGAATAATATAATATATACATTTGTGCATGTCCAGCAGCATGCTGTATTGGTTTTAGTGGCCATGGGGTCTTTCTGATATGTTTCTGTACTAATAAATAAAAGATTGCATGCTGTTAAATGTACCTGTGGTTGTGTAGACCTAGATTTTTCAAACATGCTGTCTGTTAGCAAACAGAATCTCAGATTTTAGTTGGACCTAGTTGGTTGGTAAGCTGGTTTGGTTGGGTTTGAGCAGGAATGGTGAAAACATACAGATTCACTAACATGATATTATTGTACCTCAGCATTTAATCTTGCTGCCAGGTTTGATGTTGAATCTTTTGATGGAGAGAGCGTGTTGATTTGCACTGTATTGTCATGCCCACTTTATATTAAGTGGCCTTAACTACTATGTACTTACATTTAAATTAATAATTTGGTACAATGCACGTATTGTGTACATACATATTTTTACATTGTACTTATATGTGAAACATATCTGTATGTAATTACATTTATGATTACGCTGTTGACCCATCCCTTACACATTAACCCACCCTTAAACCTACCCTTACCACCAAACCTGTCCCTAACCTTACCCGTATCCCAACTCAATAGCAGCTAAAGTGTTTTGCAATACAATATGAACACAATAAGTATGTTGTACTTATTTTTTGATGTAAGTACATAGTAGTTAAGGTCACTTAATATAACGTGGGACCAAATATGAATAGCAATAAGACAATAATGATAATAATAAGTTATTTGACTGAAGTAAAGAACTGCTGAAAATTCAGCTTTGCATCAATGGAATACATTACACTGTACTATATATTCACATTATTCACAAAGAAAACAGTTATTATAAATATTTAAAAAACATTTACTGTATTTTTGATCAAATAAATTCAGCCTTGGTGAGCAGAGGAGACGAACAAACAAACATACAAACCTTCCGTAGCCCAACTTGGAATGAATGCTGTGAATGTTATACATTAATTTATTTTATATTATATAATTATAATATTTACCAGTCAGTTGCTTGGTCAGTCCTGTGTACAAATTGTGACATTTCTTTATCTGTAGCTTGTAGGGTAGAGAAAGACTTTATGAGCACTTCTGGTAGGACTGATCTTGTTGTCTGTCTGTGGTAAATGGTCATTGTCTCACCATCTCTCACTGGCATTTGAACACCAGCAGCACTCACTTGAGCTTCTCATAGTCAGCTTTTCCAGCTAATTACAATGCTGCGCTTCAATCACGCTCCGTGCCCAAGGTTTCAGAGATAACGATCCATAACGATCCGCCACATCTGTGCCGAGATAGAGAGGAGAAATGAGAGAAAATGACCGTGAATGAATAACTTAATGTCTTGGAACGGTTTGCGAAAACCTCATGTTTATCATGACCTCACCTCAGCGTGCTAAAAACCACTTTGCGTTGAAGCCAGTGTAACACGTGTTGAGAAATGACAGGCTTTTCTTCAGATATTTTGCCCTCATGAATTACTTAAATCTTTCTGTGATGAAATGTGTGGGCTGCGTCTGTCATTATCTGTGATGGGCTCATCTGACACCAACCAGCTGTTGGCGTACTGTAAGACGAGCGATGAATCTGCAACTGAGCATCTCATGAGCTGAGAAACATTATTGTGCTTCAGAATTCAGCTGACCTGGAATTTTGTTGCTCAGGAGACATATATGACTTCTTATGTATGTTTTTGTTTAAATATCAACTTTGTCTTTGATGTTTCTTCTAAAATTCCTTTGGATAATTTTTATTTGCTAAACAACAAACAAATTTTAGGCAGGAGATTTCAGCAAATATAGCCCACAAGAGAGAAAAAAAAAAAAAAAAACAGGTTACACACAGGCCTCAAAAGTTCAAACACCTAATGGAACACAAAAATACCATACATGTTATAGAATCCCCCCCTCACCCTCCCCAAAACTTATATATTTAATATAATGTTTTGGTCATTTGACCTTGGTCAGGAAATTCTCTGCAGGATTTTTTTAAAATCTTTTCTGTTTATGATATTTGTTGACATTTTATGCATTTTACAATGTGTGCAAGGTCATTTGCTGTCAGTAAAACAAAATTAAATTGACCTTTTAAGTACTTAAGCTGGAGATAGATTTACTTCAGAAGCACAAATGCATATGATATGCAATTTGTTATGCACTACATACAATATCACATTGAACATATTGTAATGTTATGTCGCCTGTCAAGCATGAAATTTAAAAAAAAAATAGATGGGAAGTATTTTTTCACACTGGCACTCTGACAAGTTTTCTACTTGTTTGCAGTCATTAAAAAGCTCACCTGAGTGCAAAACACGTGCCTGGAGGAAGTTTGAGGATGGCTCTCAAACATCCATCTGTGTCTTTGACGTAATTAAAGATGTCACATCCAGCAGCGACATGCACCATTAATTTCTGTTGGTGCACCTTCACGTCTTCAGTGCGGTTTGGGAAATCACACATCGCAGCGCTGGCTTAATGAAGCATGTTTGATTTGGTGTGAAGAGCTCCGTGTCTCCCAGTGCGGCTATGTGAAATATGTCCTTCTCTCATCCCACAGGTGAACATCTGCGGGTTTGTTCCCAAGACTACACCTGCTGCACTTCAGACATGGAGGACAGGCTCAGCCAGCAGAGTAAACTGGATTTTGAGAAATTAGTGGATGAGAACAGCCGCACCATACGGACGATATTTACCTCCAGACATAAAAAGTTTGACGGTAAGTGTGCAACAATTGGTTTTTAGTTTGATTTGTGTTTTCTAGCCCAACATTATCATCCAGGCTTTTTGGTTTAATAACCGGATAGTCCGTAATAAACAGATGCAATGCGAAGCAATCATACTTTCAATGTGCAAATTACACTGGGATTGATGTGTAATGGCACCTTGCTGAGTTAAACCTGAAGTACACGGGGAAAAAAGCAAAAAATCCACATTTTTGTGGAAAACGTTTAGTGTTTCTAGTTGCAAATTTGAAGTAGCAATTTGTGAACGAATAGTTCGGTTGAGTCAGGTCTTTTGAATTAATTGTTCGATCTGGTTTAGAAGAATGAACCTGCAGATGAATATTTGTGTAGTGAGAATTTAAAATTGTTTAGTGTTAATATTAGTGAATTTCAAGTAGCAATTTGTGAACTAATCATTCTATCAAGTCACATCTTTTGATTGAATTGTTCGATCCAGTTCAAAGACCTGGGACCTGACGTATAAATGTTGCCTACGCACAAAATGGGCATGTAAATGTGTGTACGCAATTTTCCACGTACATATTGAGATTTATAAAAAATAAAACTTGGCGTAAATATGTGCGCACTGTACGGGTACTCTAGACCGTGCGTACGCACTCTTTTACTGGCATAATAGCGAAGCCTAATGATTTCAGACTCTCTTTTCCTTTCAATATACACATTTAGATTAAATATTCTGCTCATTAATGGAGTTAAGCATTGACATTACATAAAGTCATTATTCAAAAGCTAAAACTTATGAATTTAGATATTTAGACATATTTGTAGTGGATGTGCTGTTTTTTGATCACTTTTCTTGTTGCATGCTGTTTTAATGGCAGCGAGGAGTGCTAGGCACACAGTGCTGTTTCTTTAAACTGCAGATCTCATGTTAAGAGAATTTTTTTTTAGCAAGAACATCAACGATGCGCACTTACTTCGATATTGTGGCAGAAACTGCTGGATTTGGTGGTCGAACGGTCCACTGGCAAGTTTAAATAGGTCCGAATATATATGCCTACTGCACAACCAAGGCTGCACAGAGGTGTTTATTTCGCGAACATTCAGAACATTATGAAAATAGAATTGTGATTGAAGGATAGAATCTGAAGCAAACGATAAGATTTGCACGTTTCTTTTTCGTACGCGTCAGACAATTATGTACACTTAGGCCTATTTACACACACCGTATTTCTGAATCAACTATAGCCTATTTAAATATCCTAAAACATTTAATTTGTTTAAACAATTATATACTGCTTTGGCCAGTGGAAAAGAAAGAGATCCACTCTATTCTAAAAAGATTCTCTGAGAAGTATTTTATACAATTTTGTTTTTACATTCATTTTGATATATTTATTCGAAAACAAGACAAAGACAGTGAATACTTTTTTTAGCAATGTATTGTACCGTACCGTACAAATTGCATTTTAGTCCGCATAAAATGTCATATTTTCCTAATGTTTTGTACCTTTGTAGGTGTTAAACATGGTGTCACGTGGATGGGAATATGCATGGAGATGATATGCAGATGAGGTTATGCATAGTAAAACTAGGTGCTGTAAACTCCATATATGGTGATTTTGGGGAGGAGTTGCATGTATGCACAATCTTCCGCTGACAGGGATTTATAAAAGGATATTTGCGCAGGTTCTGGTGTACGGTTTTATAAATCTGAAACTTTTGTGCGGACGTACACTTTTAGGATGAATCTACAGAAATTTTTATACACGAGGCCCCTGAACCTGCAGATGAATCTTTGTGCACTAAAGTTATAAAATGTTTAGTGTTACTAGTAGGAATTTGTGAACGACTCATTCTATTGAATCAGGTATTTTGATTGATGGTTTGAGCTGGTTTAGAAAACTGAAACTGCAGGTGAATCTTCATGTAGTAAAATAAAAAAAAAATGTTTAGAGTTACTACCAGTGAGTCTGAAGTAGTAGTTTTTCATTTTATTGCATCAAATCTTTTGAATGAATCGTTTGAAACTGTTCAGAAAATTGAAACTGCTGATGAATTTTTGTATAGTATAGTTGTAAAATGTTTAGTGTTACTAGTGTGTACGAATCATTCTATTGAATCATTCTATTCTATCAGGTCTTTGCAGTTGTTTCATAACACTGGTCTGTATGATTTATTTGGAAATCGATCACAGTAGTTCTTGAGCTTCATTGAAAATGTTGCACTAAGTCATCGTAATTCCCATCTTTTTCCATTTGGTTTATCTAGTTTGTTGCTCATGAATAACTTCTCAAGACTTTAGACAGGCAACGATAAAAATACAAATAAATATATGAATTCTGGTCGATTTCAAAGTGTTTTGGATATGGATGGTAATGGACGGTTGTATTCTTTAAGCTAAGCTTTAGGTGTGTTTTTTTTTACATTGTGTGGGAATTTTAGTCTGTTATTCAAAAGGTTAATTAATTTGTGTCGTAAATGTTGATTGTAAAGGGAAAGTGCTCAAACCTTGGACACAATTTCTGTTTGTGGAAATATGTGCTCTGACTAACTTGTAATCTACTTTTGCAGTCACAGAAATGTTCCTTATGTAATCTTTATCTGTGTAGTATCTACTTTTTAACCTTTTTTTATGACTTCCTTTAGGGGGTTCGGTCCTTATTAGGTGGGTCAGACCCGCTCCAAACCGCCACTATAATTCACCTGGAAACCAGACAGACCTGCTCCGTACAGCTCAAACTAATTATACAGTTTTTGAAATGTCATAATGAAGGCGTACAGTGGAGAGCTGGAGTACATATTCACGGGTTTTGTAAAGGTTAATATTAGCGCTCTTGAAAAGTTGATTTGCATGTAGTGCGAATGGAAATGCCACTTGTTGAGCGTGTCATGTGATTTAAACAATCTCTGCTGTGTCCATAGAAGATCCAGTGCAAGTGGATTGACTTTTTTTTACTTTTTATGTTTGTATTTCTCTGGCTTTATAAATGGGACTTAATGGAGATCACAGTTGCTTGAAGTATCTAAAATGTCTCCTCAAATTCCTCAGGAGAATAAAAATAAACCCAAATACAGTCAATAATTGTCATACAGTAAGAGTACACTAAAAAGAGGCCTAAATGTAAGATTTAATTATGTGTATTGCATATAAAATTTCCCGGCAACCTAATAAACTTAATGTGATGCATATTTGTCAGTCATACATAAATGAAACCAGTACAATTTTTGAAATAGATTTAAATAAATGTGTTTGAAATATATAAATAGAGATAAAACGGTTATTGCGCCCCATTCCGCCCCCTTTCCAGCGGTGCTCTTTCGTTCCTCCATAATCAGTAAAATCATGTAACGAGACTTTTGCAAAACGGGACGTGCTTGATTTATTTAAGTTGATTAGATTGATTTATGTTTTTAAAAGCATTAAAGAACTTGCGCTTCCTCGGGAAGATTACTGTGGATGCGCTCAGAGACGGAACACAACACGGACATGTAAAGTCATCTTTTAGCGCCTAAACGGTCAAATACACCTAAAAATGTGTCAAAATGCGGCGCTTAACGATTATTCACGTAAACCCCCGTTGGTTATGTAATAAATTAATGTAAAGAGTTAAGAATGAAAATAAGTGTGTAACAGTAAATTGTATCCGTGCGGCTCTTAAAGAGACAGCGGGCTATATTCCTGTTGCCGACTGTGTGCTTAATATTAATCAAACAACAAAAGACACATTCAAAATCACTCACTGCTCTTGACTGAAGGACTTTTGTAGCTTTAATAAGAAACAAAGGAAGTTTAATTCTTACAGTGAAGACTATGCTGTTTTATTTTACATTAGGTTAGTAAATTTCTCTAGTAGGCCGTTAACTGAATACTTTAGACTTGTATTAAAAAAACTTAAAGCACAGTTTGTTTCATTTCTATATTTTTTATTATATTGTATTCTTTTGCTTTTTTATTACTGGCATTGTATGCCTTTGCTTTTTTATTACAGTTTAATTATTTTCAATAATTTTGAGGACCTTTTTTGTTGTTGTTTTTTTTTACTAATATTAGTTGCTCTGGTATTCTGCTGTGGTATTGAGAATTGTGACATTTCACTGGTCTCTAAAATGTAGAAGAACAACAGAGTTTTTAAAAACCCTCTTTTGTGCAGAACTACTTCCTTTCGCCACAGTTTCAAATCTCAGATTGCCAGTTTAACAGCTGAGCTCAAGCCTTCGTTACTGCTTAGAAAACGTCACTTTAGAACTAGAAATTTGAAAGTCATCGAAAGCTTATTGTATTACTGTATTATGAGAGAGAGAGATGGACTGAGCGAATAACCCGTTTCTCAATACCAAATACTAGTGTTAATTAAATACTATTATAAGAGTATTTAACTAATATAATAGTATATAATGGGGAAGTCGTGGCAGCAATAAATGGTTGCCCACTGCTCCGGGTGTGTGTTCACGGTGTGTGTGTATTCACTGCTGTGTGTGGATGGGATAGATGGGATAAATGCAGAGCACTAATTCCTAGTATGGGTCACCATACTTGGCCACATGTCACTTCATAATTATATACTATTATAAGAGTTGCTACGCAATTCAGTCAAAAGTACAAAAGCTTAAAGTTAGCCTAAAATATATAGTAATGAATATTTGCCCTCAGCCTATTTGCTCTGGGAGAAATAATAGATTAATGAGACCAAAGACTGCCTGTTAGATTTACCCAAGACAAATTATATCTGAAGCTGACGCCATGGAGCTCACATCTCTGAAAACTTTGAAGCAAATTTTTAAATACAGTAGGTGTTATCTTTATTAACAGACCACATATTTGAAGTCTAAACAATAACATTCTTGCCTAAAAAACTTGTACAATTGTGTATTTATTTTACTGCCTTTGTTTATTTAAATATATACAAATTTGTAAAAAAATATTGTAATCTAAGAACTATTTCGAATCCTCATTAAGACTTTTATTATAAAAAAGTATAGTTGTATTACATAAGAATTAGATATTTTGCATTCAATTAGACCATTTTGT